GTTATAGGGTTAATCAACTACCAGGGTTTCTTCCTTTGCCCATCTAAGCATTGTTCTGATTTTTGCTCACTTGCTCCAGTTTTTTATACTCCACTTAATTGGCAATATTTGTCTTATGATACTCTCCACCTATGCCAATGTGCCCACTATCCTGGTACTGTATAAATGCACTTCATTCAGTTTGTGTTATCACGTTCTTGATATTGACTCAATCCACAGTCTCTAACACTGGCTCTTAATGGAGAAAACAGGTGGGAGAGTGTGAATGGAAGTAAGTATTATTGGAAATACATTTTCAATTTAAGAAAATGTTAACTTCCAAAACATACTTACCTTCACTCACACTACAGCTAGAATCCCACATTGAGAAGGTGGAGGGGTTGGTGAGGGCATTATCCATACAGAAAGCGTCCGTATAGGTCATGAGTGTGATAATAGAAGATTGGCACCCTAGGTGGGGAACCACACTACATGGTCTCTATGTCCAACACTGGTGGCTAGGGCAATTGGGCTGCAAGATATATATATATGCTTATGAGTGGATCCCAACCTGTAGCCGTAGAATGACGTGTTTCGAGCCACCAGAATCATGACAGGAAGGTAAGCAAAATCAAAGTGGACAACCTTCTCCTCAACCTGAAGAAGTCTGAAAGGCAACACCCCAGGCTCAGAATGACAGGATCTTGTTGCCTTATACAACATCAGGAGACAGAACTCATCCGAAGTGGAATTATGAACACTCATCCTCACTCCCTAACCATGTGGGCAAGGTAAATTGGGTAAAGTGAGGAGTGCATGGAAAAACTGTGCTCAACCAAGGACCCAGGATGGGACCATTCTGCATTCAGAATTACAAGTTGCCAATGGACCCAATTCCATGAACAATGTACTGAACCAACATTTAATAAATAAAAAAAAAAAAAAGTAGGCTCACGAGTAGGCTCGTGCCTCTCTGTCCAACATTTGGGAAAAAACATCCAGGGACCCAGATAGAAGGGCCCCCAACTTCATCTTCTTCTCCAAGAGTGGAGGAAATTCACACTAACACTCTGGAGGAAAAGCCTCTGTCCACCACCCCAGTGACTGGAAGCCAGGTGTAGTAAAGATTCCCTAGCTCCACTAGTAGAATCTGGGGGGTAACGCACATTGGGAACTCTTGAGGAACAAGCGAACTACATTCCCTAAATATTTAAAAGCAAACTAACCCCAATTCATTCAATCCAATTATTGACAGGGATAGGCAGGATCCCCTTATGCTTCACTCATGATAGTCCATGAGTGGCTGTACAGCAAAATACAGTAATACCACCCAGTAGGCCTCTAGATGGTTTTATGGAACACCTCATTTCTATGGAGCCTGTTGCAACCTAGATAATGTAAAATGAATTTGTGGTTGCTAGTGCAAAATTGGTTTGATAAAAGCACACCTGCCTGGGCAACACTCGCCACAGAGTGGATCCTGTGAAAACAAGGTAAGGAACCCCAAAAGGTAAAGAATAGATAAGCATAGCAATGAAAGTACTCACACCTCTGTATAATCTAGCAGAAGTGGTTAAGATAGCTATAGGGGGTAGTCAAACATCCTCAGATGAAGATACTGCCAGATCATGCAAATAACACGAGATAAAAGATTGGGGGAGGTCCACATACCAGCCTGCACAATGTCCTCCAGCAAGCAATTCAACTAAATTGCTAAGGGCACAGAAATGTGACAAATTCGATTAGATGAGACTAACAGAAGAATCCTTGCCTTCAAAGAGAGCCCAGAGTAAGCAATATGAAACATTTTTTTACCCACCTCATCAATGTAACTGGGGATAAATCTGGGAAATGATCCCAATGAATAAAAAGTTATTGTCTAGCATATTTAAAGGCATTAGTGTGGGCAACAAAATCTTCAAGACCCTCACTGGACATATCAAATGACTGAAGTCTAATTGGTCATAGAAGTGAGAAATAGTGATTAGATGAATCAGTGTAAATGAATTATACCCTACAGTGTCTTAGGGAAGAATAACCGGACTGAGGATGTAGGTAGCATGATAAAGCATCCTGTGCACAATCAGTGTAAATCACTTTGACCGGAGATGTCTGTAGGTCAACAGCAATGAAAAATAAACCTTCGAGTAAAGGTGAGACATGGTATATGAGGCTAAGTTCACAGATGACATTGAGATAGGGCATGTATTATAACCTTAACATACCAAATAGGTAACTGAAATGGTCATTTGGGACTTGAGGAAGCCAGAGAGTACTGAGGACACAAAGAAATTCTGTCTCAAGTATCAAACAGTAACTGATAAGGATGCCTTATACAGAACAATTGTGGAAGATGCTAAACCTTAGTCTAAGAGTCAGATCAAAAAACAAATTATGGTTGGCAATTCTGAAGTGGGTTCAACCTCCTTTCAATACACCATTGCCGAAACTTGTGCCATTTCCATTAATAAAGGTCCATCTGGGGACTAAGCAAAGCCTGAGAGAGATACATATCAACCCTAGAAATCAAACCACGATGCTGTGCAAAAGACTGCATAACCTTTATGCCTGAAGCTTGAGCTTCTGGATAGCCAGGTGTACCATGTCAGGTCATGGCTGCCTTCACAGAAAAGCCCAAAGAGGAAGGGGAAGAGGTGGGCACTCCCGAAGGTAATGCACAAGCAGAACAGGACCCAACGATGAGTTGGAGCAAATCACAGATAGTACTATAGGTAATATATGACTTGAAGGGAAGTCCTAATGTTGTTATCCTGTCCCATCCTGGCAGAATGCATCCATTGTGAAAGCCCAAAGGTGAGGTACTGGAGTCCAAATTGCCAGTAGTTGGGTGTACAATGAGTGGTCAATTCACCAATCATTAGTGTTTCAAAATGAAAGCCAATCCAACAAAAAACCTTGTGATGCAACATCTATTCTGCTGGGAGAATCTGTTTGGGTCGATACAATGCGATCATCACCTGTGTAACATGGCAAGCTAGAAGGGTGATATGATAGGAGTGGTCCTTAGAAATGAGATCTAAGGTTTGAAAACAAGGAGCCCTGGACCAAGTGCACTCTTAATGGGGAATGCAAAACACCACCATGGAATTAGAGTGAAGCTTGACAATGTTCCCCTTAACAAGTCCAGACCATGAGGCATTGCCTTTTGAAGAGCAAGGAGGACTAAAATGTTATGTAGGTAAGCATAGACATCCATGTGTAGATCCTGGAATTCCTGACTGTTGGGATATGCATCACATCAAGGCGAGGTATCTGTGATAAGATAGATTTCTAGATGAGATGGTGGCAGAGGAACCCATATCTTAGTATTGTCCCAACTTAACAATCCCTGGAGATCGAAGAATGATCCTGAATAAGGAAACTGGGGAAGCCAGTGAATCAATGTTTATGATCCATAAAGACCATAGAAAGGATATCTTGTGTGCATGAGGGATTAAAGTTAGATCCACGTTCCCAAAAGAGAAAGAACCACCCGTGTAGTGGGAGAAGGAGAGGGGAGTAAGAGTCTGGCTTCCTGTTCCTCCAGCATGAAGTGAGATGGGAGTTGGCTGTGCCTGACTGAGAAATACGATAAAAAAAAAACCAGACTGACGACATATTGAGCTGGAACAAGGATAGATTTTTCAGCTCTGAAAATGAAGCCTGCCTTGGTTGTTACTGAAAGTAGAAACAGGGTGTGACGTATTGACAATCAACGAGACGGTCTTCAACAATGTAAGTCCATAAACTTACCACTGTCCCACAGGGGGACTGAGAAGGCAACAGAATAAATAATGGTGCAGAAAAAGAGGCAATAAAAATTCTCTTCAGTGTGTCCAAGAACACTCTCATTTGCAGTTTCAAAGCCCCCTAGAGAAACACCATTGAACCAAATATATGTTTCCACTGACAGTCTCAATTAAGAGTGATTATTATTTCCAGAACAGAGGTAAATCAGGCCTTATCTCAACTCTGACATCTAGTGTTGCACAATAATTATGTGTGTGTGTGTGGGGGGGTTTTTTATTTTTTATGAAAATCAACTAGTTGACACTAAGAATGCTCAAAATATCTCCTACGACTGTAGTAGGGTGAGACCCATTAGTGAACACTTTGTGAAGACAAAGTAATAGCATTGTTTGAGTGAGGTGCTTTTACACAGTACCAAGATAGAAGGCATATTGATGTAGATGGAGAATGTCATGAGATGAATATTGCCAAGGGTAATTAAGTGGGGTATAAAAGACTGGAGTAAGCAAGAATAAATCAGATCAATGCTTAGATGGGCAAAGGAAGAAACCCTGGCAGTCAAGTAATAGCTGTAATGTGAGGAGGTATGTTTTGGAATTAATACTTTTAGGTCATTTTTATTTGTATTCATTTTTTATTATTTCTTATAACTTATTATAAATATTTATTGCATTTATTTTTATGCAATTATAATTAACAATGTTTTTGTTCTTTATTCAAACTCCTTCTTTTACCTGATATTTTCTGTAGCTTTATTTTAGTTTCTATATTAATTTTGAAATTTCTCTACTCCCCACCCCCCATTTACTAATCATTCTGGTCTTCGCACTCCTATTTCCTGCCTTATTCCTATCTTTTTGTATACTGAAAATCAGCCAAACCTGCAACATTCTTACAAAAAGCCAATCCAAACATTTCTGTGTTATCATGGTGCACTGCTGTAGATATCAATAATATCACTGAATATCACCAACAGTTACTCAACACTTAACATTATTCCAAATTAAATTCTAAAAAAAAAGGAAATTTTCCTTTCAAAGATGCCCAAGTTATTGAGTTTCTTCCTTTTTATCAATATATTACAATCATGACCTTATGTAATACCTAGTATTACATGACTTGTGCATTTTTTATGGGGTTTTTGAAACAAACTTACAAGTACACACACACACACATACACATAAACATGAAGTCATGAATTTACAATTGAAATGTAAATTTCCTAATGCTTGTAAATATTTTAAAATTGTTTAAAAATGTATTTACAATACCTTAAGCAACTTGATGCAGAAATGACAATAGAAAAAATATAAAACATAAAAAATATCCCTAGGGTTCCAAAAACTGCTTCATAGTATTCCATTTCTGAAAAAAAAAAAGATAAAAATTAAGCAATGTTAGTTCAGAATCGAAATATGAATCAAAATAACACATGTATAGATGTAAGATCACCATTACCAAAAGAAATGAAAAAATATAATGATGTTGAACTGAAACCAAAGATTTATTTCTTCTTTAAAAACCAAATTTTTTGGGGGAAAAAATACTATGTAAAATTCAAGTTATTTTCTTAAAATATACGTTCATCTATTATTATGAAACCTACATGACTTTTGCAGTTTCTGTATTTTGATTTTGGTTAAACTTTTAAGCTGAAAAATTAATGTTAATTATCACTTAAATAATATCTGGAAGCAAACACACTATGAAATAAAGATGGATATGGCATACAAACTTAACTGTATTCAATAATTCACTGGCATATTTAACTTGTGTAAAACCATTTTTTGAAAATTATCAGTTTAGGAAGTATATTAAACAGTAAATTTGCATATGTTTTATTACCTGTAAACTTTATTTTCATCAACTACATTTTAAGAAGTATTATAACCTAGTACATTTCTAGTATTTCTATGAATGTAACTGAAACAATAAGCCAGCTTGAGGATCCAGCAGTTGAATCACATTTTGTCTCACACAAAAATGACAAAACGTATTTGCATGTGTAACATTAATATTGTAATATATGGTAGATTTTTCATCATTTACGTTGTGTTAATCAACCTAAACCTGTGTTTAAAAGGTTTAACAAACAGAAGCCTTTAAGAAGACCAACACCAACCATTGTACAAGACCAAAGATATACCAACCGAACAATTCTTGACTTAGCTTGAAGAGACAAATTCCAAGAAAACTTAGTAGCTTTAAAAGATGTATCACGAAAACTAAAAATTAAACTTATTCTAACAACTCTAAAATTTATAACGAAACTGTAGATAATAAATTCTTTCAATCATATCACATTCAGAAATCATCATCAGATAATTCAGGTTCACAGCCAGAATCATCGTCAGCTTGCACAAGTTAACTTGTCTCTTCAAGTGTGAAAACACTGGAGCAATACGATGCCGTTTTGTGTTTGTTTAATCACAAAAGTTAAACAATTATAACTGCAAGTATTACCAATGTTTTGAATAGTAGCATATGCCATGTTGGATACAAACTGGTGGCTCTGGTCGACATCTGGGTAGACTAGGAGTTGTCTATTGGTTTTGTGTGTGAATTGACAACATCAGTCTGACTTAGAAAAGTCAAAGTAAAATATGATGTACACGTGAAGAATAAAAATACTTTCATCCATCAAACAGTTTAAATATTGCATTTGTATAATCTCTAGAACCTCCAAAATGTGTATCTACAGTTTTTTCAGTATCCCTGGTATTTACTTTACTACAAACTGAAATAAATTAGCAATGTATGGTAAAATGAATACTTGATAACTCTGGCATTAAATACACAATACCATGTTGAATGGCACTCTGTAAAAGGTCATGACATGCACACTTCTACCTCCACCTGTGCACATGAGGTTCATGTCAAATTCTCTTTTAACATTTAAAACATATACACACTGACATTAAAAACAGCAGTAATATCTATTGTTTTTGGAATTAATTACCTATATATTCACTTTAATAAAATCACTAAAATGGTACTCATGAGTATTTATTAACACATTTAATAACAAGTATCACAATCAAAATAAATTCACCAAATGATTAGCCATTATCACAGTCTCCATTCATTACTGAGATAAATAATTTTCATTAAAAAGTAATCATAAATTCCAAAACTAAAATAAAAACCTTATCTTTTAGGCTAGTAATATTTTATATTGCTTCACAGACTAATCTACTGTCATTTCCATTTCTTTACACTTATAAACATTGTATTTAATTCAAAAATACAATAATAGCAAATTTTACAATTGAAAGTTCTGGTTTTAATGATTTTAATGTTTTGACCCATACTACTGGGTCATCATCAGGCTGATTGGGATACAAAAGACACAGTAGTGGTTGAATCACTATCACATTTTTCTCATGCTTATTTTGAATCATCAGCACTTTTGTTTCAGTTGAGTTAAATGCATAGAAAAATCATTAATGCAGCAACATATTCCAAAATCTTTGAAAGTTTCAACATGGTTAAACTGAGAAAATTTATATTTAAGTGAAAAATGCTTACTACGGCAAAAACACATTGGCATATTGCTCAAAAACTTAGTGCTTAAAAAGAACTGGTTAAAGAACAGCAGATTCATTTGCTATAATTAGAAGTGGAGAATTTAAAGTTTAATACGAGAAAGTGATGCCCCAAAAAAATCCAGATGGGAGGATAGCATCATTTCAAGAATTCCAACAACGAAAAAGTTTGGAAAAAAATCCTCAGATAAAAAAGCAGAAATAAAGAATATGCATGGAGTTAAAATCAGTAAAAGGACTGTTTTGAAAATGGTATGAGTGAAAATATCCACCCAAAAAGCTTAATATTTCATAAGTGAACAAGATCAAGTATTTAAACTTTCTAAATGGAAAAATGTGCAATGAACTGATAAACACTGAAAATGTTCATACAGTGGATTTCTCTGTTTATTGTTAAGTACAAAGCTACACAATGGGCCATCTGTGCTGCATATACTGTGGGTACTGAAACCTGGTTTCTAATATTATAAGCTTTCACTCTTGCCACTGAGCCACCAAAGAGGGGAGACATGTAGAGGCATAACAACCTAGAATTTTAGCAAAATATAAAAAAAATTGTTTTGGATCTATAACAATGTGGGTTTCTTTACTGCTGCAAGAGTGAAAAATATTTTCATGCCTAATGTTGTAGTATTTTCCAACACACAAATTTCCCTCAGATTAAATAAGTAAGGTTTGCTAAATAGGAAGTCCAATGAATACATATTTGCCAAGTATGGGTTTACTTCACCTGAATTCTGAGCTTGTCACAAAGAAAAGGTCCACACACAAAAAGTACAAAACACAGCCCAAAGCAAATAAGATAAAGGCATGTATTTGTTATGAGAGTGTATAACTGATGATAGATTGTGTGAAAAGAAACCTTTATTAGTTCTCTCTCACCATTTTAGTATGAATTCAAGTATTACAAAAATGTAATCTAAAAGTTAAAACAACAGCAAAAAACCTTAAACTTAAAATTAAATGAACAGTTAAACTAAAAATCATGAAATCTAAAAGTCACAATCTTTATCTCAAGTAGTCTCACAACTCTAAATTCTATACTCCAAAATATTACAATCTATCTCACAGACTGCACAACATCTGTCTATTCTCTCTGGATCTCAGGGTTGAGGAAGCCCTAACCATGATTCATGAACAGAAAAGATAGTGGTCTCTTTCAAGACATCATGAATGAAATCATAGCTAGCCTTCTTGCAAGAGAATGTATTTAATGAATGAAGTTCGTTCCTTGTACAGCTAAAGTTAGAAGGAGTTAAGTTGCTTACTTGAATAGTTTTCAATATCTAAACTGAACACAAAGAAAACAGAAAATTTGAAAAATTTCTGTATCAACAAAGGGGAGTAAGCAAAAACCTGGTACTGTTCTGTGCCACAATGCTATCTGAAGAAAATATATCACAAAATCCTGAACTGACATGCAGAAAGTCAAATGGGAGATGTTTTATCTGCCCCAGCTTTAAATTTCGGCAGGAAGGTGTTTTAAAACATGATATTCTGAGGATATGATATAAAGGAGATATTGGAAGAAAAAATAAAAAAGCTAGTGACCTAAAAGTTAAGAAATGGCAAACTAAGCCTGAAGTTCCAATGCTAATACAATTAACCCTATTGACAAGTGTCACGGGTCAAAGACCATGTTATCGCATTTGTTGACTCGCATTCAAAATTTTATTCCACTACTATTTTATGAATTGATGTCAATAAATTTGGTATCAAACTGTAGATTGTAATTCAAATTTTAGAATTACACATCAGTTAATTTCTTAATTTAAAAGTAAATATAAAAACACCCCTAAGTATCAAATTTTGTTTGTCATGTGGTATGTTGAATGCAGCATCAGTTAAAATTATATGTTTGTGATGTCCAAATACAAAGTCTATAGTTTCTTATGAATT